CCCCAAAACCCCAAAACCCCAAAACCCCTTTCGGAATTATATAAAAATATGGAGAAATTACTAATTATCTGATCTTGCTTTTGAATAGGGGCTTTCTGTCTCAATGTTGAGGATATTGGTAAGCCATAACCTTAGACCGTACCCCAAGACCTTCCCTAATTCGCTCATAGCATCAGGATTTCGAAGAGAGTTGCATCAAAGTGGTCGGCACCTGATGTACATGGATCTCGAAACAGTTGATGTGTTTGGGAATACCACAAATTTAATGTACTACTACTCAAACCTTTACTTTGGAGATCATGATAACTTATCAAAGCAGTCGTTGATCCTAGACACTGGATCAGGGATCACCTGATTCCCTTGCAAGGATCTATGCCTGCAGTGTGGCAAACATTTGAACACTTATTATGATGTGATGAATTCAAAATCTGTAGAATTTTTAAATTGAAAATAAGGACCACTGCACTTGTAGCACTGAAGACAGATGTTTCTTTGCTCAGAGGTACGGAGAAGGCTCTTCATACCTGGGCTTCTGGATTAATGAGAATGTGTACCTCAATAGCCAAGATGATGTGAATAATACGATAAAAATGACAGTCGGTTGTGTCACTGAGGAGACTAAATTATTTAAAACTCAGAAGGCAGATGGAATCATGGGACTCAGCACTGCAGGGAATCTAAAATCGAAGCCAATCTACTATCACCTACATGAAGCTGGCTTGATTGAGCATCTGGAATTCTCTCTCTGATTAGGCCACAATGGAGGAAAATTTATTGTGGGTGGATATGACGAAAAATTAATTGTTAACACTTCAGAAGAATGCCAACAAGAAAACTGAGTAATTTTTCCTTAACCTTTTAGCTACAATGGACCAAGATGCGAAGAGATTCACAGTTTAAAGTTAATTTAGAGAAGATCAAGGTTGGGAATATCATAATCCCTTCAAAAGTCAAGATAGGATTTATTGATTCTGGGACTACTTATACCTACATGACTTCTGCTCAGAAGGCTCAAATCGATAGAGCAATTACAAGTCTTTGTGAGACTGGAGATTATAACTGCTACGGCAAGAAAGTAGGTCTAGGATGGTAAAATTTCTTAACCTTGTAGATATAAGTTCAAAGAGACTAAAAGCTTATCTGTAAAAGATTTCTTCCTGTCATATCCAATCCTTTCTTTTGTTACTAAAGAAGGAGGCACCATTAAATGGTTTCCTAGCGAATATTTCATCAAGTTTAAAGATAAATATTGCTTAGCAATCGACCCTTATGGAGGAGGAGCCGGTAAATTTAATGGTGATTCTTTAGAAATAATTATGGGAGGAAGCTCAATGAGACAAACAATGTTCATTTTCGATAAAGACAATAACAGAGTTGGTTACGCTAGAGCAAAGTGCTCTGAAGATGCAAACATGATCATGACTGATTCAGGTGAGGCTTTCAAAAGGTAATCCATAGAGATATTTGCTAGTAATAAAGCTGAGAAGACAAAGGAAGAATGATATAACTGCATAACTGCTCAACTTTCAGATGAGCCTTTGTTCTATGGTGTAATCACAATCCTACTCTTATTGATATTTTGATTATGAACCTTAGTAGGCTATAAGTGCTTCAAGAAAATCCGGGAAAACAGGCAAACTCGGTTTATCAGATATGAAGTTGATGCTAATTCTTCTTCTGTGATGCGAGGAGAGGATAGCATCCAGCTTGAGCTGGATGAAGTTCCTCACTAAGTGAATAGTGAAATGAAAGAGTAGATGAATTCAATATTGAATAGTTGTGAAGGGGTTTTGGGGTTTTGGGGTTTTGGGGTTTTGGGG